ATTATATTATCGGTAGCTAACTATTTGAGACAAGATTAAGCATGTTTGAAGATCTAGGACAAGTATGATTTTGATATGAGTACTCATGTTATTATACTATAATAATATTTTGCTTTTCTTCCAAATGCAGTTACTGTTACTGCTATATTTATAACACTATATACCAATGAATTATAATTTTATTGAATTTTGTTCATATTCTTGGAGCAACATGTATACTCAATATTGTTTAAATTATTACGATATTGATTCATGTAGAAGTATATTGATTGTAATACGAATGTAAATGAAAGGATTATTATTAGATAATATTTGTTATAGTATTTTACACGTGTTTTCTTGGTTGTGATTGAGTCACCATTTTATTGTACTAACAAGAGAATGTTAAGGTATTCGTGCACGTAAATGAAAACTGATATTGATATTGAAGTAACTTAACTAGTACAATTTTTAGAAAGTGCTCCTATAATGGTTTTACAAATATAAAATAATATAGATATGCTATTTATATAGTAAAACATATTGAATAAAATAAAATATCGTAAGTGATTATTTTCATAAACTATTAAATATTTTATACTGATTTATAAACGTTTGATTTATATGCATTTTTTCTTGTATTACTGTAGTTTAGAAGTGTGAGTATCCACTAAGTTTGATTAGTTCACAGTTATTTTAAACTAATTTTTCAGGTATAGTTAATTGATTAAAAGATGAGTAATTGAAGAGAAAATATTTATAAAAGATACGAACAACTTGTAAAGAGGTAAATTAATTGTATTGCTTAATAATTTTATTCTTTAGTAACTTTTTCATTTGTTAAATATTTTAGATAATTTAATTCCCACCGTTCGACCATCTGTACCCATCTTAATTTGAAGTCTCGTGCTGGATCATGACATCATATGTATGAGTAGAAAAATAGTAATATTACTGTCACAAAATTAACATAGATTTGTATGCAAAAATATAATTACATAAATAGAATATCTTTTATCTCCTTATTGAGGAAATGAAATAGTTTTTGTATTTCATTTAGCTGGGATGGGCCATTCAAAGTATCATCCCAAAACAAAGTTTTGAATAAATACAAGTTATTAATATTAGATGCAAGATAGTTATTAATCAATTTTGGAATTTTATCTTGAGTTTTTGCATTTTTCTCAAATTCTAGTTGTACAAAACGAAGTCCAACGTTAAACAAAATGACCTATTTTAATAATGGCGCTAAAATGAAATGAAAATGAAGAATGTACTTAAAATTGAAGAGTTAAGCGAGCACATGACAGTATTCGCATTTTTGGAGCCATAACACATGATGCTCGAGTCAAAATCCTCCATTTTAAGTGGCACCAAAATCACATGAAAATGAAGAATTTACTGACATGCAAGTGTTAAGTGGATATATAATGTAAAACACATTTCATCCAACACATTACAGTAAATAACATGTAATTAATTAACAAGTTCTAAAATAATTAAGTTGTAGTTAACCTAAATTAAGGAAATATGAAGTTTATAATTCATTAAGATATCAGCTCAATGGAGATCTAGTCCTCAAACCTCATCATCATTGAATAAACTGTCACTATCTTCATCCCTTCATCAAGCAGTATCATTGCCCTAGAAAAATTAGGTGCATATTCCTTTTCTTTTCTTTTGGTTTTTTCTTTGGAAGAATTTTGAATATTGCATCTCTTTCATAAGCACCACCAGTATTAGCCACATCAGCCAGGTTAGATTTTCCCAGGAAAATTAATTGTCTTAAATAACCTAATTATCCACTTTCCCAACGAATCATTCGTTGGCAATGTCAATTTCATCTAGAGAAATTGGATTAATAGTGTCTAGTTGTTACATCTGATCGAAGTTTTATTGTATTTCACGAACCCCAAATATTTGAGACGATGATGTTGCATTTTTTTCTACTTTTGCTATGGAGCCTCTAAAAAATGTATTGAGTTTATTCTACCAGAAAATGAAATTTATTTAAATAGTATAAATATAATTTTTTATTTTGTACTAATTTATGGACTAAAAATTCAATATTTGAAATGCTTGCTATAATACTTCAATAATGTCCACACCCTGATGAACTGCATGTGAGGCTAAGCATTTTAATTGCAAAAATGTGTGAAGTAGAGAAGGATGAATTAGATGCTAACCTTCAATTAGCTATGTAACATAATAAAATAAATGACGACAACAACAACAAAAACAAAGCCTTAATCCCACTAAGTGGGGTCGGCTACATAAATCTTTTTTCTCCATTGCGTCCTATTTAGTATCAATAAAATAATTAATGAAAAAAAAAAAAATTATTGTAAAAATTTAATTTTCTTGGTGCTCTAGAGGCTTTGACAACTAAGACAGTACTGAAGAGAACTTCAACCCTTCTATAGAATCCTACTCATCACTGAATTTCTCTTCCAGCTCTTTATCATGAGCCATTCTTATGTATGTATGCATATCTTCCATAATTTCTTTAAGACTGTCTTTGTTGGATTTTTATAGAAGTATTGTGTTATAAGCCATGCCCTTGAAATTCCATTTTTATGACTAGAAATATAAATATGATACAATGTTGAAGTATGAACAATTTGTTAGATCGGTAGATTACAATTTTAATTTATTTTATTAGCATTTGATGATGAAGTATTAAATAAATATTAGATGAATGGATTAAAAGTTAGTGTATTTTTTAATTAATATTTGATGATATTGAACCAATATTTAGATGGATTACATTTTTTATTTCTCATAAAATATTATATATATATATATATATATATATATATTGCAAAAGCCTAGGCGAGATTTTATAAAATAAGAAAAGGGAAGACAACACAATGTGTTAAGAAAAAATCCCGAAAGTAGGATCTTTTTCCCGGTATACAACACTCCCAAAAGTTTCAAAAGATTAGTTACATACCCAAAAAATAGATTAAAGAAAGAAACTGTAGCATAATAAGAAGAAAAGTAAGTAAAAGGAGATAAATGCAGTATAACAAAAGAAAGTAATTATCTGAAAGAGGCTATTCCTCGGCAGGAGTAGCAGAACTGCAAAGAGATGAGGATTAATAGACGGAAGATCCTCCCCAAACCAAAGACCTTTAGAGATGAAAGGAGTCAGTAAGCCATATCATGGTGAACATCTGACATAAGGAAGATTCAAAGAATCTCCCCTTAAAAGTATATTAAGCTCCCTGGGAGGCACCAAACCAGTTGAGACACCCAAAAAAGCACGTTTAGTTAACCAATCCGCAACTGCATTTCCCTCCCTATATATAATATTCCATATGACCTGAAGGTCATGAGAAGCTATAAATGGCCAAATCTTATTAAGATAAATAATTAAATTCCAAAGAGGCTCTTGTTTTCTAGTGATGAAATCCAAAAGAACAGAAGAACCCGATTCAATAAAAATTGTAGGCCAATTAAAATAACAACAACATTTAGAGCCAGAAATACTGCCCAACCCTCCTCTTCAGTGAGAGTTAAAGCCCATATAGAAGAAGAAAAATAGAAGAGACGCTTGCCTAAATGATTTCTGAAAATTGCCCCAGCACCAGTTGTGCAATTTTTCAACTTCCATCAACATTAATTTTGATCTCGCCAGGGGGAGGGGGATGCCAATATATTAAAGATGGCCTCCAGTCCTCCGTAGGCAAAGATCTAGGCAACAATTGTATATGTTTAGAGCCTTTGCATGGTAGGCAATATTGCAAGAAATAATGGAGAGAGGGGAAGAGGAGGAGAGCTCATGTTTCACATTGTTTCTAGCACACCAAATAAACCACAAAGCCATATAAGGAATGAGATGCATTGTTGTGTCCGATGAACCGCAAGATTTCCAAGCAGGTAAGCAATCTTCCTTATTATGCCAAGTAAAATTTTTCAAACCAAATATTCTTCCCAAACTCTGCCATATCTCCCTAGCAAAGGGACCAAAGAAATATAAATGTGAAGCACTTTCTTGAGAGCATTTACACAAACAACATTGTGAGGCCAACCGCAGGCTTTTGAGTTTTAAGATGTCATCAAAAGGCAACAACTGTAAAAAATTCCTCCATAAAAAACAGAAAAAGAGGAGGAGAGATATTTATGCCAGATTTCAAGACCCATTTCCATTTATCAAAATGATGTAACGTATCGTAAATCATTTTAGAGATGGAGATTTTTTTGCTTAATTTCCCATGAGGCTTGTCTTTAACGTCATTACATATAGGAATCATAGAGATTTGTGGGGCCGCATTACCTACCAATCACGTAAAAGCCCTTCAACAACAACATTAGGACCGGTATATGAGGGCTTGGTTGAAACTCATTAAAACTTTAAATTAATGAGAAAATTAAGAAGTAAATCTGAAAGAAAAAAATTTTTTCGGTCATCTTCAAACTAGGCTAGAGCATAATGAGAAAATAAATGAACAGGTGCTACTTTGTTGTAATTTTTTCATTTATATCCCTATCTGTTGTTGCCCCATTTGGGTTTAAAGTTTCTGTTGAGGGTGTTTCAAATGCTGACAAACGTATCAATATGTTAATTAATGTCCCAATTGGAATTTATATGTTAATGTGAAGAAAGATGAAGATGAGATTAATGAGGATGTTGATGTGAATAAATTTAATGAGAAGATGTACAGTTCTAAGAATGTATGATTTATAATTCTACAGACGTTATGCGATGCATCATTGTTATGTTTAAGGATTAACTTGCTTGAAAAACGATTATTATTTTTCAATATTATTTTAAGCATGTGGAAAAAGTTTGCAAGAGCATTATAAATAATGAGACTTGTACGGATATTTTGACTAATTTTGTTATGTTATTATTTGCTTGAACTTTAGGCCTAAACCACTTTGATTTTCTATTCAACTTGCTACTCGCACTGATAAGATTCGCTGTGATGTATGCGATGATGTGGCATATGAGAATAAAATGTGTTACATGCACTTAGATTATTTTATCTCTAATACTTGGAACTCAATGTTATCAGGATATTCGGCACTGATGGCGATTATCGGAAGCAGAAGGCTCTGCAGAACCAAGTCGCAAAAACTTTATGAGAGAAAGAGGTATGTAGTTCTGCTAGCATTATATACATTCCTGAGCAGAACTTTGATGCGGACTTGCACGGCTTTTCAAATCTGACTTGCTTCAATGTTTGTAATCAGGGAAGGCCCAATTTCTTCAACCATCATGTCATCATTCTACGAGGAATCTATGTGCTACCAGTTCCTTTTTTTTCTCATATTGGTTATTGTTATTATTATTATTATTATTGTTGACTGTCATCAGCTTATTGTTGGTGTGGAGTTGACTGGAGCTATCTCCCTGTTGGCATGGTGAATTCCTGTGTCAATAATTTTATGTGGGCGTCGTCTGTATTGTGAAACTTTCTATTTGAATTCATCTGTGCTTAGAGAGAGAGAGAGAGAGAGAGAGAGAGAGAGCAGCTTTTTACTTTGCTTGTTTGATTGTTTGATTCTATTTAATAAGTATCCTGCTATTGTTCTTGCCAGTTAGAACTCAGCTACCAATTCTTTTGTTGAGTTATCTTTATCAAACATGGGAGTGGTTAGCTTTAGAGTAGAGTTAGGGTGGTATGGCTGAAGTTTGTCTCAAGCTGTTCAGGAAAAGATGTATTTTGAAGCTATTTGGGAATAGCAGCTGAATATGGGAAATAAATGGAGCTTTTTAAAAAAAAAAGTATTCATGGAGTTATGGGAGCAAATATGATAATAAAAAGAATGAATATCATTCTTTGAAAGAGAAAAATACCATAAGCAGTTTCAAAGGAGGGATCTGGTGATGTTTGGGCAAATTTTTCACTTTAAATCTTAAAATTTTCGCCTTAATTTGTAATTTTGATTGGTTCTTAGCACATTTTGTCTAACTTTATTTCTTACCCATCTATATGTATAATTATTTTTCAGCTTTATTTTTTATATATAATATATGCATTGCTATTTTAATTATTGATGGATGTCACTTCATGTTGTATTTTTAACATTATGAAATAAATAATATAAATTAGCTATAATTATTTAAAAAAAATCCTGTTACTTTGTGTAATATGTCAAAATTGCTTATCATCTAAATCAAACTAATCAGCTCATAATTTCTGAAAAAGATAAATTATTGTGCTTGTATTTTTGACAGCCAAATGGACTTGTTAAAAAAAAGAAAAAAAACATTGAAACTAAGCTAATTAATTTTCTCGCTAGATATTTGTAATAACTAATGTTTAATATTTGAATTTAATGGGCCGCTCATTAATAAGTTCAATTGGGTGCTTAATTAACTAATAGCGCTGCTTGTTGCCGCAAAGCTCATTCACTTAGTCGATGCTCATGGCTCATACAATCATAATTTAAATGAAATGAGTTTTATGTATGGTTATGTGGGCACCTTTTTTTGTGTTATTCATCAAAATAAACTACTTATATATGGTCGTTCATATATTTGTTTATTTAGTAGTTCAATTAATGTCTTTGATGCGTGCTAGAAGATTCATGGCGGTAGATTAATAGATTATTGTTTTGGCATTGTACGAAGATTCAAAATACACTTAGATAAAAGAAAATAATCAGTAGAAACACTGAAAGTTTTTTACGCGAAAACCCCGAAAAGGGAAAAAATCATGAGATCTAGCCAAGTTGTAAAAATTTACTATAAGTTGATAATTATAGAGACCCATTGTCTCACAGACAAGTAATGATTACAAAGTTTTTTGAATTACAATGTCGACGTACGAATGAACTTGTTATAAGGAACGAACGGCGAACGATAATGATCGGCGGCCACCGTCAGGTGGTGGTTAACGGAGGTCGGTGGTGGTCGACAGTGGTTGACAACGGTCAGCGGTGGTCGATGGCGGTCGACAGTAGTCGTCGACAGCAGGAGTGATGTTGGACTTCGACTTCTTAAAGTTTCAAGCTTTTTCTCAAGCCTCAAGCTCTTTCTTTCAACTGCAATTAATGCACGAATACGAACCATTTTGATTTGATGGCTCAGAGGGTTTCTCTTGATCAAACATCGTTTGATGGACATTAGAGTGCTTTAACGATGTCAGAATTGAGTGATTTTGGACTCGTTGGATTCTTTTTTTTCGATATGCTAAATTCAAATATAAGCTCTTGATCAAACATCGTTTGATGGACATTAGAGTGTTTTAACGATGTCAGAATTGAGTGATTTTGTACTCGTTGGATTCTGTTTTTCGAGATGCTAAATTCAAATATAAACTTGTCAGATTCAACATCATTTGACATTCCAAATGCATCCAAAAAGCTTCTAAAAGAGGCTTAATGGCTTGAATAGAGCTCGATTTGGTTCAGATTTGACACTTTTGGTACCATTAGGTCCGTCTCGTCGAGCTTATTAATTTGACTATAAGTTTGTTAAGTTTGCTGAAATCAGAGCACAGGATGACTTTTTATCGAGGCTAGGATTTTTTGCTCAAAAGGTTACCTTGAAATCCGTGCTATGCGTCGAGATTTTTCCCAGATAATGGGAATTGTTGATGATGTATCAATCTTGTTTTTAAGTTTAATAAACTGCTCATTAGTAGGCTTGATTAAATTTGTTTAACTAACTAATAAGCTTCTTAGAGCATTGCTTGTTAATAAGTTATGTAAAGCTCTTTTGGTTAACTAACGAGTCCAACTTCAAACAACCATAATTTGAAAGGGATTCAGTTCGAACACCCCTGCAATTGTTGAAATTGAGCTTAAGCTTGAATAAGGTTTTGGCAAATGAGTTAAAACTCGAGTAAGCTCCTACTCAGCTTAGCTTGATTCATTTATTACCTTATTGGCTTTTCATGCCTTGTACCTATAATCCTTAAATGATTATGCTTTATCCTTTGAACTATTTAGTGAAAATTAGAGGGATCAGGGCCTGGTTACAAATTAAAGCATGACTTTAACACACAGTTTCACTCCAGTCTAATTGAGATATTTGAGAAGAGATAACCAATAATTTATAATCAACTTTCCTATATGTTATTGTTTGTAGTCCTCTAGGTATTATTAGATGAGTTCATTGATATTCAAGAGAAAATGGAATCATATGTCTTTACTTGCATCCACCACCATTCTCCCAATCATTCTTCTTAATTCAATTGAAGCCTAAATATTAAATCTAATATTGAAACTTGAACATAAGCAATCTTCTTAATTAAGAAGGATCTCAATGAGGGAGGTGTTATTAACTATGGGTTATTGCACTTCTAGAAAGTTCAATTTCAGGATAAAATAAAATGCAATACAACATTGAGTTTGATTAAATTAAACATAAACTATGTCAATGAAAACTAATCTTACGTGCAAATGATGTGGATCACACCATTCTGTCAAACGTACGTCATGTTGCGATCCACGCCGTCGTCTACACGTCCAATTAACCAGACGTAATATTTTCTCCACTCTCTATCGATGTAGCTTTCTTCAAATGCAATTCCATTATGTTCTTTTGACACAGTTCATGGAGGTCACTCATAAAATGTGTTTTTCAGTGTGTCAATGCTGATCAAAGGCTCTGCTAATCTTCTAAATGTCTGGAAAGGTATAAAAATAAGTACGGGAGACAAATTACTTTAGTATGAAGACTCCATTTCGTTGATTGAGTTGAGAGATTATGATTTGAAAAATAATAAATTTATTAGATTCAGGTATTATTTTTTAATGTGATGAATTTGTTTTCAAATAGAAAGAGTGAAAATAAATTACTCAATTAATTTTTTTTTTTTAACCTTCGGAGCAATTTGAAAGGAATTATTGTTGTCGATGAAAATGAGTCCAATTATAGAGTATGCAATGTTTGCAAGGGTTTTTGGTGGATTGAAGAGTTTATTTGAGTGTATTGGATATTGATTCATGCCCTCTATGAATTCTTATATCTAAAAATTAAATTATAAAATTGTTTTAATAATGCATTGCAAATGGGGAACCATTACCTAACAAAATTATACATTTGCAAGGACAAACTTTTTGAAGAACAATAGATGATCTTAAGTTGTATCACTGTTATAGAAATTACAAGAGCTTATAACGAATTACATAATGCTCCACTTAATTACATGACTTTATAACAAATATTTCTCTCTTTGAGTACACAATAGGCTCAATCTCGCTCATTAACACTTGATCTTACTCAAGAGAATACTCCCGCACACTCATAACACTCCCATGGATTTCTCCTATGAAATGCTCCGATTGCTCTTGAGTATTCTCTGATGACACCCTTCAGTGTGTCTCGCCCTCTCCTCCCTTTCAGTCTCTCTCCAAAAGCCTCCGTTTCCTTCGAATTCTACCAATTTAAGCCATCACCCACAAAAAAATGTGAATGGAGACATTTGAACCGTACTCCTGTGCATTCGGGGGCCTGGCGCTCGTTACTTCCAGATGTCTGGGTGATCATGATTGGACCCTGCTCATCTGGTTCCAGGTGCCTGGGCGCCCAAGATTGACTCTTGAGCCCCGGTTCAGCCTGTTTTGAGTCATTCTCATCTCTTTCGCCATTCAAAGTTGACTAATCACATGTACACTGCATAGACAACCACAAAATATGAAAAATACATAAAAAAAGATGCATAATATTAAAATTACATAAAATTATCACTCCCATTTGATACACATCAAAACACCCCTATCAGGTGGATGGAATTCCCTTCCGCCTTACACACTCTAAGTGCGTCTCTACTAAGGGTGCAAAATTGTTCTTTCTATATAAATTGGGTTTATAGATGATCAAGACTTATGGTTCTTATATCATGTTTTCCACATGCTGGATCCCTTCACTGTGTATTTAATGGCTCATTCCTTCAACTTGTCCGATCCATTGCAACCATTGTGTTGTCATCATTGCTGGGCTTGTTAGCCTGTTCTGTCTGCTCCCTTCCCCTGTTATATCAGCCCAACTCTGCTTCTCTGTAGCCAACATGTACCTGCTTATACCTGCTTACTGACATGATTATCACTGGCGTGGCCATTGTTATAAAAGCTCCGGCATAGAAATAAATTCTCATAGAAATGATCCCTCAAGTGCTCCTCGATCTTGCGGAATATAGTTTTCTATAATGATTGCTGGTCGGAATACTTCATAGTTTGTTGCATCTGTTTTTTGAATCGAATCGAAGAGCGTATATCTTATGCAGCTCGATCTTGCGGAATATAGTTTTCTATAATGATTGTTGGTCGGAATACTTCATAGTTTGTTGCAGCTGTTTTTTGAATCGAATCCAAGAGCGTATATCTTATGCATGATCAATCTGAATGCACATTTGTTGGGTTTAATACAATTGAGAATGGGCACAAACTAAAAGTTTAGGTGTGAGATGTGTATATACATAAGAATTGTGTGAGATGTATGTAAATTCCCCAAATGAAAATCATGAATGCTATACTATCCTCGCAGTGGAAATTCCAAGTCGGTAGTCTTCGGCATCTCTGCAGGTGATCAGTTGTGGATTGCTCGGTACATTCTAGAGGTATATACAAAGAAAGTACATGAATTCGGTGGCAACTCCTTCCATTATTTTTACCAACTTGAATGTCTACTTGTACCTTGCTGACCGTTAACTTTGCTATTTCTGTAACCAGCGGATCACTGAAATTGCCGGGGTGGTTCTTTCACTTGACCCGAAGCCTGTTCAGGTTGGATTCACTTGATCTTCCTTTTGTTCATACTTCATAGGATTGCGATTTATGAAACTGTTCTCCAATACTGAAAAAAAAAAAAAAAAGTTCTTTGTGTATTTTAATATAAGAAGTCTTGAATATATCTTTCTAATTATCTTTGGGGAGATTGGAATGGCGCTGGTTTTATTCTTAAACTAAACTTTTTTGTGTATTCAATATAAATAGTATGAATGAAAGTTTTTCGGACATTCAGAAGGTCAAACGAATGTCGAATCTAGCAAGCATATCGTCAAATCGAGCTTCTCAACAAGATAAATCCAGCGAGCCCAAGATTGTTTAATTCAGACATCGTTAAGGCTGACTGATCGAATGAAGCTTTCCGAACTATCCGATCAAAGTGGTTCATATTCCTGCATTAATTGCACCCAGAACACAATAAATAGAGCCTCACTCCTCTCATGATGGGGAGGAGAGTTCGAAGCCTGAAGAAGAACTTGAAGCTTTGAGAAGGAGCTGAAGTCTAATATCATTTTTGCCACCGCCGACCGTTATCGATCACCACCTGCCGAACTCCACCTATCGCCATCGGCTGCAGCCCACTTTTTATAACAAATTCATAAAACTTTGTCATCAACTTATAATAGATTTTATAACTGGGTCAGATCTCGTCGTTTTTTTTTTCTTTTACTAAAAAATTTCTTCTGTCTCTACTGGTTGTTTTCTTTAATCCAAGTGTGCATTAAATTCTCATGAAACGCTAAGACGATAATTCATTACTATACTGCCCTGAATTTTCTAACACTCATCAATTACTAATAATTAAGATATAACCTTATGTTAATCAAGATTTAATTAATTTAATTAATTGTCATATTAAATAATTTTAAAACTCAACATCATGTCCCCATATCATATTCTAGGTACATATTTCACAAAATCAAATTAATAATTTGTAAGTAATTAATTTACAATAAAATTCTAATAATAGAAGCTATACATAAATAGTGTGTACATAAATTATAAAAATTATCTCATAAAATTAAATAAAATATCTTATTAGCCCGGTTGGCATGATTTCTTAAATAACAATATCCCGGAATTAGTTGAATTTCCCTTAAAACCCCTTTAAAAAAGCTCCCTCCCTGCTTCACTGTTCCATCCTCTCTCGCTCTCTGTTTCAGTGCAATGTCGCTCCTCACTGATCTTATCAACCTCAATCTCTCAGATTCGACGGAGAAGATCATTGCAGAGTATATATGGTGCGCTTCTTCACTGCTTGATAGCTATCATCGGTTGATGTAGTTTTCAGTGCCGACACCTAGAAAGTTTTGGAACTTTTTTAAGTTTTGGAACTTTGTTGGGCAATGCCTATTTCCTTCGATCGACTGAGATCAGGGTTTGCATTTCGAACCTGTAAAGGATGAGCACTTACAATTCTCCTCATATCTTGAAGTGGATTTCTGCTTTTATTTCCGTCTTATTCTGACTTCCTCTGTTTTTCTACATTAAAATTGAGCCCTAATGCAAAAACCTTCTTGACTTTCTCATGTCGTTGGTTCTTCTTCTTCTTTTCTCTCGCATACATTCATTTCTTTTGTTGCTGTAGGATTGGAGGATCTGGTACGGACTTGAGGAGCAAAGCGAAGGTTTAAATTCTCTTACCTTGTGATCATAGTCAAATGTGCTGCCTCGATTAATTTTGGTTATGGGGACATTTGCCCTAGTTTTTGGTTGATTTTTTTTCCAAGAATAGTTGGCACATGTAATTTTTTTGGTGCAACAGACTCTTCCAGGACCAGTGACTGATCCCAGCCAGCTACCGAAATGGAATTATGATGGCTCGAGCACTGGTCAAGCTTTGGGGGACGATAGCGAAGTGGTTCTGTAGTAAGTTTTGGTTTGTTGCCACATGGATCCCATGATTCTATTTGGATTCAGTTTTTGTTTCGATTTCTTTTTAATTTTGTGTTTTTTTCTTTGAGATGTATGGCGTCTGCTAGATTTCAAACGCAAATATTCTTGTGCTTTGCAGCCCTCAGGCTATCTATAAAGATCCTTTCAGGAAGGGAAACAACATTCTTGTAAGCTTTATAATTTTTTATTTTCCATCTGTAACTGTTTTGGATTTTATTTCATCACGGTTGATAAATCCTACCATTCCAGATAAATGCTATGTTAAAATCGATTTTATGTGAATTTTTAATGTCTAGAAAGATTAGTGTATATTTTCTTTTAAATGTCTAGAAAGATAGCTTGCAAACTTGTGGTGATTTTTGAAGAAACGAAATTTAAGAAAAAGCTTGGTGGTGATTCTTGTGAACAAACAATTTGTTCATGATGTAGAAATAATATGTAGACTGAATCTGAGAGTTGAATCTTTCATTGAATTTTGTATATTTTACTTTTCTGCATTAATCATGGTTAAATGTATGTTTTGATTATTTAAAAACTTGTAAAAAGGCTTTTGTACTATAAATTATTGTTCTCTTTTATTTCAAAACTTCTTATATTCTCCTTTTTTTTTTTTTTTTTGATCATCAACTTTGTCCTTCATCATCCTCTTTTGGTGCACCACTTTCCTTCCTGATTCTTGCTGGCATGTTGTTGAAAATTAAATTTGAGTTGACTCATATGTAATTGGGTTTTAATTTAGAATAGCCTTTGGAGAATTCTAGACTCATTCTGAAAAGATTTTAGAGGAATTATAGAGACATTTTAAAATAGTATTTTAAAAATTTCAAGAATAGATAGTTAATGACTTTTGTAACAGAAGATAAAAGAATATTCCAAGGAATCAATGGTAGTCATATGATTGAAATATATTGTCACAATCATAATATGAGTGTCATTAGTATAAATAGATGTGGTGTCTTTGATTTGTTATTACGAAGAAAATAGTGAGAAATAAAATTATTTATTTCATCAATAAAGAGTTATTCTTCCTTCCTCGTGGCCTTAGTCATGTCCTAAAATCATTCTATTTCTAAAAAAGTAGCATCAGAGCATGCCATTCTTTTCTAAAGATATGGAGAATGGCGGTATGGTTTACTTCCAAGTTTCGTTACTCAAGACAAACAACTACGATAATTGGAGTATCAAAATAAAGCACTTCTTGGAACTCACGATGTTTGGGAGCTCATAGAGAAAGGCTATGACGAGTCAAACAATGAGTTAGGACTAGCCTCAATATAGAAAGATAATTTAAGAAACTTAAGAAACAGCGATACAAGAACTCTCTTTCTTATCTACCAAGTTTTGGAGGATGATGGCCTTAAGAAGAGCTCAAGTGCGACTTTCTAGGCGCCA